ACGGAAACACTACGGCGGAGCGTATTCAACTTTTCCACTCTGGAAGGTGGTTTCAGATTTTTGCATTTTTAAGCCCCAAAAACTTAATCAGCATCTAAACGAAAGACACTCCCGATAAAATATTTTGTAGTTTTTACCCACAAGCGTTCTTGTGTAAACAGACCCTTAGTTTATCTACATCAAAATACTCAAAATGCTCTCTTCTGGTCATTTTCAAGTTATATTTTAAATTTTTTTTTGTAGAGACTGGCAATTCCAGGCTTGAAATTATCTATGAAATTATCCAAGCAAAAGTGTATGGAGTTTAGAAACACAGTGGAGCACACATCACAAGGTGGAACAGTGTGTTTTGTTTAAGAGAAGCTATAACAAATATGCAGGTTTGTGTGTTAAACATGTGTGAATGAAATGAAAACACAACTCCATTATGTTTTTGGTGAGGAAACAACATCATAACAGATCAGAAAATAGCGTAAAATGGGCCCTTTAAGATATTATGCTTTGAAAAATGGCTTTAGGAAATGTCAAGTTTTTGCATTCTGTCAACGTTATGCCAGAAAATGATGTATTACTCAAATGCTACAATAACATGAATTTCAAAGCGTGTCTTGCTCTTTGCTTAAAAACATCTCCAGTATTATTGTTGAAACATTTGATGAACTCATATGTTTCTTTTACTGTTTCTGGTCTATAAAAGTTTTGGCGTTTTCCATTGTATCCAAGTTTGTGCCCTCGATTGTGTAATTTCTTGCTTAGAAGAAGTGGCGCAATCCTATTTTACATCTGCTTTAACAACAATAGTCCTATTATAGACTTGGTTTGGATCTGGTGGTACTCAGAAAGCCAAATATTTTCTTCGGTGGTACTTTGTTTGAAAAGTCTGAGAGCCACTGATCTAGAGACGCTATATTTCTGTGTCTCTACATCTCCGACCTTTTTCGTCTGGTGAGCTGCTCTTATAAAACGAAGATGCCAGAGAGCGACTCATTTTAGCGTTTCCAAGAAATCGAGAAAATATAAAAGCCTTAGATGTGACGCAGTTTGACGTCTATAAAACATTTACACAACTATTATCCATTTATTAGTGCTGGGGACATAACGATATCCACATTTCTCTGTACGATACTTTCATTTATTGCAATATTTTGTAAAATTGTGAATACTTTTTCCTTTTTAAAATGCCTTGACAAGCCTTCGGTTCTGCCATAATCTAAAGAATTAAGTTTTAAAGTGCATGTATTAGTAATCTGCGCTAAAACGGAGCAAAGCATCATGGTATATGTAGTTCTCTCTGTCTTTTTAGCTGTATCGCTGCACCATAACTATTAATTTAAGCAAAGAGGCTTGTAATTTGATATATTTTCATGACCCATGGTATTATTGTGAGACTTTTGACGATATGATATCACAATATTTGGGTTATTGTTACATCCCTAACGCACAAAGATCAGAATGATACACTTACAATGGTAATAGGCGTTTAATTAAACCAAATATGATTCAGAAATCTCTTGGCGAGCTACATGGAAGAGGATTGAGAGCTTCTGGTAGCTCCCGAGATATTAACATGTTCCAATCAATATTATCTAATGTTTGTGAAGCTTAATTTATGTTTAGTTTTAATTCTCAAGCCTAATCTGAAAGCTGAAAACTAAAGAGCACACTACATATACTGTAGTACTCGAGACCGGTCTAGAGATCAAGACCAGTCTCAAGTACTACGACACTACTAGTACTACCATATTTTTACTACAATTTTTTTGCAGTCTTGGTCTCGTCTCGGACTTGAACACATTTGAACTCGGTCTTGTCTTGATCTTGAAGGGGTTTGGACTCAGTCTTGTCTCGTACTCGAGGTCTGACACTAATGTAAATCCAATTAGGAACTTGAAAAGGCAGGTTTAAAAATGCTACCCACTTTATTCGGTTTTCAGAGGAAGTTGGCTAAAAGAAGGGGTTTGCTTAGCAGTTTTCTTGACTTATTTAAGCCTAAATTAACATTAACAAGCTCAAATGGAGATAGATTTATAAAAACATTGGTATATATGTGCCAAAATAAATGTAAAATACAAATAAATGTAGAAAATGACAAAGATGGTCTTGTTTTGGTCTCAAGGGGCCGTGGTCTTGGTCTTGTCTCAGTCTCACCTTTAAAAGTCTTGGTCTTGTCTCAGTCTTGGTCTTTAAAAGTCTTGGTCTTGTCTCGGTCTCAGTCTTTAAAAGTCTTGGTCTTGTCTCAGTCTCAGTCTTTAAAAGTCTTGGTCTTGTCTCAGTCTCAGTCTTTAAAAGTCTTGGTCTTGTCTCAGTCTCAGTCTTTAAAAGTCTTGGTCTTGTCTCGGTCTCAGTCTTTAAAAGTCTTGGTCTTGGTCTCAGTCTCTTTAAAAGTCTTGGTCTTGTCTCAGTCTCAGTCTTTAAAAGTCTTGGTCTTGTCTCAGTCTCAGTCTTTAAAAGTCTTGGTCTTGTCTCACTCTCAGTCTTTAAAAGTCTTGGTCTTGTCTCGGTCTCAGTCTTTAAAAGTCTTGGTCTTGTCTCGTCTCAGTCTTTAAAAGTCTTGGTCTTGTCTCGGTCTCAGTCTTTAAAAGTCTTGGTCTTGTCTCGGTCTCAGTCTTTAAAAGTCTTGGTCTTGTCTCGGTCTCAGTCTTTAAAAGTCTTGGTCTTGTCTCGGTCTTGGTCTTTAAAAGTCTTGGTCTTGTCTCAGTCTCAGTCTTTAAAAGTCTTGGTCTTGTCTCAGTCTCAGTCTTTAAAAGTCTTGGTCTTGTCTTGGTCTCAGTCTTTAAAAGTCTTGGTCTTGTCTTGGTCTCAGTCTTTAAAAGTCTTGGTCTTGTCTCAGTCTCAGTCTTTAAAAGTCTTGGTCTTGTCTCAGTCTCAGTCTTTAAAAGTCTTGGTCTTGTCTCAGTCTCAGTCTTTAAAAGTCTTGGTCTTGTCTCGGTCTCAGTCTTTAAAAGTCTTGGTCTTGTCTCAGTCTCAGTCTTTAAAAGTCTTGGTCTTGTCTTGGTCTCAGTCTTTAAAAGTCTTGGTCTTGTCTCAGTCTCAGTCTTTAAAAGTCTTGGTCTTGTCTCAGTCTCAGTCTTTAAAAGTCTTGGTCTTGTCTCGGTCTCAGTCTTTAAAAGTCTTGGTCTTGTCTCAGTCTCTCTTTAAAAAGTCTTGGTCTTGTCTCGGTCTCAGTCTTTAAAAGTCTTGGTCTTGTCTCGGTCTCAGTCTTTAAAAGTCTTGGTCTTGTCTTCGGTCTCAGTCTTTAAAAGTCTTGGTCTTGTCTCAGTCTCAGTCTTTAAAAGTCTTGGTCTTGTCTCTGTCTCAGTCTTTAAAAGTCTTGGTCTTGTCTCACTTGTCTTTAAAAGTCTTGGTCTTGTCTCACTCGTCTTTAAAAGTCTTGGTCTTGTCTCTCAGTCTCAGTCTTTAAAAGTCTTTGGTCTTGTCTCAGTCTCAGTCTTTAAAAGTCTTGTCTCAGTCTCAGTCTTTAAAAGTCTTGGTCTTGTCTCACACTTCTTTAAAAGTCTTGGTCTTGTCTCAGTCTCAGTCTTTAAAAGTCTTGGTCTTGTCTCAGTCTCGGTCTTTAAAAGTCTTGGTCTTGTCTCGGTCTCAGTCTTTAAAAGTCTTGGTCTTGTCTCACTCTCGCCTTTAAAAGTCTTGGTCTTGTCTCAGTCTCAGTCTTTAAAAGTCTTGGTCTTGTCTCACTCTCAGTCTTTAAAAAGTCTTGGTCTTGTCTCAGTCTCGGCTTTTAAAAGTCTTGGTCTTGTCTCGGTCTCAGTCTTTAAAAGTCTTGGTCTTGTCTCAGTCTCAGTCTTTAAAAGTCTTGGTCTTGTCTCAGTCTCAGTCTTTAAAAGTCTTGGTCTTGTCTCACTTTTCTTTAAAAGTCTTGGTCTTGTCTCACTCGTCTTTAAAAGTCTTGGTCTTGTCTCAGTCTCGCCTTTTAAAAGTCTTGGTCTTGTCTCGGTCTCAGTCTTTAAAAGTCTTGGTCTTGTCTCAGTCTCAGTCTTTAAAAGTCTTGGTCTTGTCTCTGTCTCAGTCTTTAAAAGTCTTGGTCTTGTCTCTTGTCTCAGTCCTTTAAAAGTCTTGGTCTTGTCTCAGTCTCAGTCTTTAAAAGTCTTGGTCTTGTCTCAGTCTCAGTCTTTAAAAGTCTTGGTCTTGTCTCAGTCTCAGTCTTTAAAAGTCTTGGTCTTGTCTCTCGGTCTCAGTCTTTAAAAGTCTTCGGTCTTTGTCTCACTCTCAGTCTTTAAAAGTCTTGGTCTTGTCTCACTCGTCTTTAAAAGTCTTGGTCTTGTCTCACTCTCGCCTTTAAAAATCTTGGTCTTGTCTCAGTCTCGGCTTTTAAAAGTCTTGGTCTTGTCTCAGTCTCATTCTTTAAAAGTCTTGGTCTTGTCTCGGTCTCAGTCTTTAAAAGTCTTGGTCTTGTCTCAGTCTCAACCCTGAGAGGTCTCGGTCTTGTCCTGGTCTCGAGACCCTGTGTTCTCGGACAGGTTTTGGTCTTGATTAGTGCCGTCTTGACTACAACATTAAGTCCTAGTGTCAAAGATTATAAATATTCCTCTTGCTTTCTTAGTAAAACTGTATGAGGCAATGTAGTTCTATTATTATATCACTGACAGTTCTGAAGCATTTACTAGAATAAATTATAAGAATAGTAATTACTGAACATATCCTGCTATTATTTCACAATAATTCCATGATTCCACAAATTACAGAACAATCCAAACACAGACATCTGCAGCAGACGGATGCAGCTCGACTAACGGGAAGAGGAAGCAAAAATACCCTGCGCTGTTTGCTCGTGCTAGCGGCAGTGAGGCTAAACATAGACTTTTTATGACGTGATTTACGCTTGTTATGACAGAGAAATCGCCGTTACATAACGCTAACACGCCGCACTGTTTGCGGAGCGGCCGTCACAACGCGGTTAAATTATAGGCTTAGATTCCTTATAACAGAAATACCTACCTGTAAAATGTGGAGGATTTATTTACTCTGCAGGTGCGAGAGTGTGAGTGTGAGCGTGAACGTACCAGAGAGTCTTCGTCGGCGATGAAGACCGTGCACGCCTGGGCCTGCATGAAGGACATGATGGTCCCTGCGATCTTCCTCAGTAACACCTCCAGACACTGCTGCTCCTCGAAGATCAGGCTGGCCAGGTCAAGTAACACCTGCACACAAACATCGAATTAAAGACTTACTGTGTTTTCCGCACTATAGGGCGCTCTGGATTATAAGGCGCACTGTCATTAAATGGTCTATTTTCAAACTTTTTTCACAAATAAACCGCATCGGACTTTAAACGAAACACAACAGTTGGATGGGTCAGTTGGACTTTGTTTGTTGCGTTCACGGTGACTCTGGGCTTTGTTCAGTTGTGGCGTGTAGGGAGGGTGCTGTCTGGGACCGCTGGATTGTCGGCGTGTTCGCAGTGACTCAGTTGTTCAGTCGTGTCTAGAAGTGGCACACTGGACTCGCTTTTTCGGTTCGTTCTTCCGTTCCGTTCCTCGTCGGCGTGGAGTGATGAGTGTGGCTGCGGGTGTTTGTCTCTGTGCGGTCGCTGTCTGCTCCGTGTGTGTTTGTAGTTTACTGAAGTCGTGTTGGGACACCCAAGTGGATTCGTGTATAGGGCGCTCTAGATTGTGGGGCTTTGTGGGGGTCGTTTTTTGATGGGGCTGGACACTTATGAGTGTGCCTTATAGTGCGGAAAATACGGTATAATAAATCATTCAGGCTTACAATTTTCCACTTAGGTTTTCACCAATAATCTGACTGTGAGTGGGGTCGTCTTTCCACAGATCTGACCTGTGGCTTGATTTTGTATCCATGATGATAAAAAGGTTTAATCCCATTCTGTGAAATATTTCAGACAAAGTAGTAAAATCTCCCTGGAGAAAAACAGGTGGCCGACCCTTCTCCAGAAAAGTTACACAATCACCTTTAAGTATTTAGTGAGTATATATTATATTCAATATACTCTAAAACTTATACTTGACAATGTGATCTTGATAATTTGACTGTCTAACCTGTTTTTACGAAAAGAAACTACAGTTTTCTTACATTTTGGCAAAAGTTACAATACACATTTTAAAGTAGTATATTTAAACATGTGGATATTAAGATGCTGTATCTGATTTTAGAAGTACCAAAGTTATTCCTTACTTACCTTATGCATTCCGAATGATGAGTTTATAAGTGTTTTTTACAACTTTCAGAGAACAGAGTGGGGGAAAAACAACTTTATATGCAGACGTTACACTGCAAATTTATTTTGACTGCAAGAGCTGCTTAAGCAATATACGGAGCGAGAGATTTTTTGCTGAAATACATGGAAACAAAATCGGGTACAGAGCCTCTAACTTCTTGTTCTTATCCTGCCTTCACACTAGTTATGTTTTTCTTACATTTCTTACTTAAAGTTTAGTCCAAACTATGACATAATGAATGTGAGAATGTAATGAGTGTGAACCTGCCCTTAGTTCTTATACATCCTAACCCTAGTACTTAAAGATGCACTGTGTAACTTTTCTGGTGGAGGGTACGCCACCTTTTTTTTTTCTTTAGGGAGATGTTATTGCTTTGCTTGGTATGTTCCACAGTATGGCATTAATGGTCTATTCAGCCTTTGTTTCATTAGAGGTGATTTTATTGTTCAGAAATACCTTATTGTGTGAATGGGCTTGCCTCTCCACTGAACTGATCTGTACTTTGGCCCAGAATCTTGCACCGGGTTGGGTACCCGCAACTAGTCACTGAAACGAGCAAGTTTTAACGTTTTGGAATTTTATGGGCGGGTAGTGATTACACACAGGAGAAAAGTACTTGAGAAACAATTGTCATTTCCCATCTTTTCCTTGAACGATGGACCAGACTGAGAGACTTTAGAGTTTTTAATCACATAAAACCATCAGTGGAGGTGAACGGCTTGGCGGCTGCACTCCTGTTTTAGTCCTGATTTAGTCCTGGTTCAGTCCTAGTCCAGTCCTCCAGGTTTAGTCCTGGTTTAGAGTCCTGTTAGTCCAGTCCAGGTTTAGTCCTGGTTTAGACCTGGCCCAGTCCTGGTTCAGTCCTAGTCCAGTCCTGGTTTAGTCCTGGTTTAGACCTGGTCCAGTCCAGGTTTAGTCCTGGTTTAGACCTGGTCCAGTCCAGGTTTAGTCCTGGTTTAGACCTGGCCCAGTCCTGGTTCAGTCCTAGTCCAGTCCTGGTTTAGTCCTGGTTTAGTCCTGGTTCAGTCCTTGTTCAGTCCTGGTGTAGTCCTGGTTTAGACCTGGTCCAGTCCAGGTTTAGTCCTGGTTTAGACCTGGTCCAGTCCAGGTTTAGTCCTGGTTTAGACCTGGTCCAGTCCAGGTTTAGTCCTGGTTTAGACCTGGCCCAGTCCTGGTTCAGTCCTAGTCCAGTCCTGGTTTAGTCCTGGTTTAGTCCTGGTGTAGTCCTGGTTTAGTCCTGTTCAGTCCTGGTTTAGTCCTGGTTTAGACCTGGTCCAGGTTTAGTCCTGGTTTAGAGTCCTGGTCCAGTCCAGGTTTAGTCCTGGTTTTTCCCCAGTCCTGGTTCAGTCCTAGTCCAGTTCTGGTTTAGTCCTGGTGTAGTCCTGGTTTAGTCCTGGTTTAGTCCTGTTCAGTCCTGGTCCAGTCCAGGTTTAGTCCTGGTTTAGACCTGGCCCAGTCCTGGTTCAGTCCTAGTCCAGTCCTGGTTAGTCCTGGTTTTAGTCCTGGTTTAGTCCTGGTTCAGTCCTTGTTTCCAGTCCTGGTTTAGTCCTGGTTTAGACCTGGTCCAGTCCAGGTTTAGTCCTGGTTTAGACCTGGTCCAGTTCAGGTTTAGTCCTGGTTTAGACCTGGTCCAGTCCAGGTTTAGTCCTGGTTTAGACCTGGCCCAGTCCTGGTTCAGTCCTAGTCCAGTCCAGTCCTGGTTTAGTCCTGGTTTAGTCCTGGTTCAGTCCTTGTTCAGTCCTGGTGTAGTCCTGGTTTAGTCCTGGTTCAGTCCTTGTTCAGTCCTGGTTCAGTCCTTGTTCAGTCCTGGTTTAGTCCTGGTTCAGTCCTTGTTCAGTCCTGGTTTAGTCCTGGTTCAGTCCTTGTTCAGTCCTGGTGTAGTCCTGGTTCAGTCCTTGTTCAGTCCTGGTTTAGTCCTGGTTCAGTCCTGGTTCAGTCCTTGTTCAGTCCAGTCCTGGTTTAGTCCTGGTTTAGTCCTGGTTCAGTCCTTGTTCAGTCCTGGTGTAGTCCTGGTCTCTGCAGTTGTGGCATGTATATATTTATAATCCCCTGATGACACGGCGTAGGTTCAGTCCTGGTTTAGTCCTGGATTATAGGGCTGTCGGACTAATGGTCTGACCCCGATTTACCGTGGGCATGGGTGGGTAACAGGTGCAGTGTTAACGGGTAAATGGGCGGGTGTGGTGCTGAACGGCGCGGGTGCGGACGGGTGTGGTTCTCCAAAAATGGACCCGCGCAAGACTCTGCCTCGACCTGCTTGCCTCCATGGAGACAGATAAGTCTAATGCTTTACTGTGAAACATTCTAGTTCATTACATCTAGACGGAGACTTGCATGTAGGGTCACCCTCCTCAGAAAAAGTAACACGCATCTTAATAATAATAATAATAATGTTCACATTTTTTAAAGATCATATGAACCAAGAATATAATAATACTAATAAATCTCCATAGTAACCTGGTTGCGTCGGTTTTCGAGCTGTGACGTTTCGTAGAGCTGAGCGTTGTGGAGGACGATCCCTGAAAAGGCCAAGTACGCCGAGAAGTCCTGAAGGGAAAACATGACAGCGGTAAAAACAGATTCTGCTTTGTGTGTGTTCAAAAGTAACTGAGCGCATTTGAGATATTTACCTTTTCGTCCTGTTCAGTAAACGCACCGTCCTCCCCACACTTCTTATTGATGGCCTGGGCTACACCGACCACCTGAAAGCAACAATCGCACAAGGAATTTCAAAAGTTTTTCAAAGGTTTTTTTTAGTTTATTGAGTGGTCAGACTAGAAAAATAACTATTGAGTTTTGAGTATTGATGTGAAGCTGTTAGAGTAGCAAGAATAAAGCTGAGAAACTAATCGTGACTGCAAGATTATTTGGTTATTCGTGATTATTCTGGACACAAATAACCCATAACAACTAATCAATTAATTTGCGACAATTGTAGAAGTAAAAAATAATAATAATAATCTAAATCTATACAAAACAGTATTTATTATTATTGTTATTTTTTTTTATCTAGCTGTCACATTTACTTAATTTTAGTATTCAGAAATTTAGATTTAATAAAACTGGTCACATATTAGACAATGGCCATATTTACATGATTTTAATTCCGAATTTACGGAAGCCAGGAGACCTTATAACAAACACAAATGCCGCAACAGATACAAATGCGACAACACAACAAAATTTTCCAACAGACCAAGCGAAGCGTTAAGGGATCAGGCGGGAAGTGAATGTGAAAAATAAAGGTGAACGAAGTTGGAAATGTAAGTAAAGTCACTTCTGTTGTGGGTTTGTATTTGTGTTGTGGTGTTTGTATTTGTGTTGTGGGTTTGCATTTGTGTTGTGGTGTTTGTATTGTGTGTTTGGTGTTTTGTATTTGTGTTTGTGTTTGTTTTGTGTTTGTTTGTGTGTTGTTTGTGTGTTTGTGTGTGTTGTGGTGTTGTGGTGTTGTGTGTTGTGTGTTTGTGTTTGTGTTGTGTTTGTGTGTGTTGGTTTGTTTGTGTTTGGTGTGTTTGTGTTTGTTTATTTTGTTTGTGTTTGTGTTTGTGTTTGTGTGTTGTGTTTGTAGTTTGTGTTTGTTTGTGTTTGTGTTTGTGTTTGTGTGTTTTGTGTTGTGGTGTTTGCATTTGTGTTGTGTGTTTGTGTTTGTTGTGTGTGTGTTTGTGTTTGTTGTTTGTGTGTTTGTTTGTGTTTGTGTTGTGTGTTTTGTTGTGTGTTGTGTGTTTGTGTTTGTTGTGTGTGTTTTTGTTTGTGTTTGTGTTGTGTGTTGTTGTTGTGTTTGTTTGTGGTTGTGTGTTTGCTTTGTGTTGTGGTGTTTGTTTGTGTTGTGGTGTGTTTGCATTTGTGTTGTGGTGTTGTATGTTGTGTTTTGTGTTGTTTGTGTTGTGCATTTGTGTTGTGTTTGTTGTGTTTGTTGTGTGTTTGGTGTGTTGTTGTTTTGTTTTGTTTTGTTTGTGTGTTGTGTTTGTGTTTGTGTTTGTGTTTGTATTGTTTGTTGTTTGTTTTGTGTGTTGTGGTGTTGTATTTGTGTGTTGTTTGCATGTTGTGTGGTGTTTGTATTTGTTTGTATTTGTTTGTGTTGTGGTGTTTTGTTGTGTGTTTTGTAGTTTGTTGTGGGTGTTTTGTTGTTTGTTTGTTGTGGTTTGTTTTGTGTTGTGTTGTTGTTTGTGTTTGTGGTGTTTGTGTGTGTGTTGTTTGTGTTGTGTTGTGTGTTTGTATTTGTGTGTTGTGTGTTTGTGTTTGTTTGTGTTTGGTGTTTGTATTTTTTGTGTTGTGTGTTTGTTTGTGTTGTGTTGTGTGTTTGTATTTGTGTTTGTGTTTGTGTGTGTGGTGTTTTGTATTTGTGTTTGTGGTGTTTGTATTTGTGTTTGTTTGTGTTTGTTTGTGTGTGTGTTGTTTGTGTGTTGTTTGTATTGTGTGTTTGTATTTGTTTGTGTTGTGGTGTTTGTATTTGTGTTGTGTGTTTGTATTTGTGTTGTGGTGTTTGTTTGTGTTGTGTTTTATTTGTGTTGTGTTTTGTATGTGGTGTGTTTGTGTTGTGGTGTTTGTATTTGTGTTGTGGTGTTTGTATTTGTGTTGTTGTGTTTTTGTTGTGTGTTTGTTTGTGTTGTGGTGTTTGTATTTGTGTTGTGGTGTTTGTATTTGTGTTGTGGTGTTGTATTTGTGTGTTGTGTGTTTGTATTGTGTTTGGTGTTTGTTTGTGTGTGTGTTTGTATTTTGTGTTGTGTTGTTGTGTGTTTGTTTTGTTGTTGTGTTTTGTGTTTGTTGTTTGTTTGTGTTTGCATTTGTGTTGTGTTTGTGTTGTTTGTTTGTGTTGTGGTTTGTGTTTGTGTTTGTGTTTGTGTTTTGTGTTTGTTTTTGTGTTGTGTTTGTGTTTGTTTGTGTTGTGTGTTTGTTTGTGTTGTGTGTGTTGTGTGTTTGTGTTTGTGTGTTGTGTTTTGTTTGTGTTGTGTGTGTTTGTATTTGTGTTGTGGGTTTGTATTTGTGTTGTGTGTTGTGTGTGTGTGTTGTGTGTTTGTATGTTGTGTTGTGTGTTTGGTGTTTGTGTTTGTTTGTGTGTTTGTGTTTGTTTTTTGTGTTTGGTTTGTGTTTGTGTTTGTGTTTGGTGTGTTTGTGTTTGTATTTGTGTTTGTGTGTGTTTGTGTTGTGTGTTGTGGTGTTTGTGTGTTGTGGTTTGTTTGTGTTGTTGTGTTGTTTTGTGTTTGTATTTGTGTGTTTGGTTGTGGTGTTTGTGTTGTGGTGTTTGTATTTGTGTATTTGTGTTGTTTGTGTTGTGGTGTTTGTGTTTTGTGTGTTTGTTTGTTGTTTGTGTGTTGTATTTGTGTTGTGGTTGTTTGTTGTGTTTGTGTTTTGTTGTTGTTGTTTTTGTGTTGTGGTGTTTGTTGTGTTTGTTTGTGGTGTTTGTGTTTTGTGTGTGTTTGTGTATTGTGTGTTTGTATTTGTGTTGTTGTGTTTGTGTTGTGGTGTGTTGTGGTGTTTGTGTTTGTGTTTGTGTTTGTGTTGTGTGTGTGGTGTTTGTATTTGTGTTGTGTGTTTGTGTTGTGTGTTGTGGTGTTGTTGGTGTTTGTGTTTGTGTGGTTTGTATTTGTGTTGTGTTTGTGTTTGTGTTTGTGTGTTTGTGTTTGTGGTGTTTTGTGTTTGTGTTTGGTGTTGTTTGTATTTGTGTTGTGTGTTTGTATTTGTGTTGTGTGTTTGTTTGTGTTGTGTGTTGTGTGTGTTTGTGTTTGTTTGTTTGTTGTTTGTGTTTGTTTGGTGTTTGTGTTTGTGTTGTGGTGTTTGCTGTTTGTATTTGTGTTTGTGTTTGTGTTGTGTTTGTTTGTGTTGTGTGTTTGTGTTTGTTTGTGTGTTGTGTTGTGTTGTGTTGTGTTTGTGTTTGTTTGTGTTGTGTGTTTGTATTTGTGTTGTGTTTGTTTTGTGTTGTGGTGTTTGTATTTGTGTTGTGTGTTTGGTGTTGTGTTTGTGTTTGTGTTTGTGTTGTGGTGTTGCATTTGTGTTGTGTGTTTGCATTTTGTTGTGTGTGTTTGGTGTTTGTGTTTGTGTTGTGTTGTATTTGTTGTTGTTTGTGTGTTTGTATGTTGTGTTTGTTTTGTGTTGTGGTGTTTGCATTTGTGTTGTTGTGGTGTTGTGGTGTTTGTATGTGTTTGTGTTGTGGGTTTGTATTTGTGTTGTGGTGTTTGTTTTGTGTTGTGGTGTTTGTGTTGTCGCGTTTGTATTTGTTGCGGCGTTTGCGTTTGTTATGAGCCCTTCCGGCTTCCATACAAATTAATTGTTCTGAATTAAATAGTTTGGAATTAAAATATTCTCCTTCTAGTTTACGTGGAAATAATAATTCCGAATTGAGGTTTACATGGAAAACACCTTAAATCGCCTTTATTTAATTCCATTCAATGTCTGGTGGGGAAAGGTTTTGATTGGACAGGGACACGAACATATTCACGTCGACCGGAAGAAAACACACACTTCAGCTGCTACTGAGTTTTTGTCATCTCGGTTTGTCGTCACACCACGGACACAAATATGAGCCAAACTTTTTCCACAGTCATTCCCATGATATTTAAGCAGCAGATGGAGAAATTTCTCTTCACGCTTTACGTCTGTCGGCCGAGGAGGAGAAGGGAAGAGTGTCGGAGAAGGGAGGAAGAAGACAAACTGAGTCAACGGCTGCTCTACCTCAGCCCACTCCTGCATCCCGCTCACAAATCCAAAGAGACGTGGATGAAAGTCCGAAGCCAGGACTGATGGAGCTGGATCGTCCGGATCGCGTCAGAAGGGCGACCCAACGAGCATGCGCTGAATGACCACAATTATTTTTAAGAAGAATAAACGTTTACATGATCGAGGAATAAATTAATTCAGCATTGAAATCTGAATAAACCACCCACTTACTTTGGAATTAAGTTTAATTCCGAATAATCATTTTCATTAAGGATTAAGTGTTTATATGTTCTTTTTAAAGCGGAATAATTTTTTATTCAGAATTAAATTAAAGCTCTCGTGTAAATGTGGCAAATGTGGATGAAAGAAAATTTAAGATTTCACAGTTGTTTGGTCATAGGGTCAATAACCGTCATTAAACATAAACATAAAAAAAAACATAAAATCACAATCTTTTTTGCACACTGTGAACAATAAAATTTGATAGCTGTACAGTTTTTGACAAATCTTTATAAAATTATTTTGATTCACTCATGAAAGCCGAAGGGAAATTTTGTAAACTTAAAAAAAAAATGAAAGAGAAAGAGAGAGGAGGGTTGCGTAGAGACGTTCAAACATTATTCAGAATGCTAAACTTAGAAAAAAGGAAAGAGCAAATCCATTACCTCATCTCTGTGGTTCTTGATCGGCAGACACAGGATGCTCTGGGTTTTGTAGCCTGTGATGAGGTCCACTTCGGCGTTAAACCTGGGATCCTACGCAAAAACAAAGCAAAAACAAAGCAAAAACACACACTTTTTAATTTATTATTTCTTATTTGAACAATATCGACGAGCGCATTTAAATCCCCGCCTCAAAATCCAAGTCTTTCCAAGCACGAAACGATTTAAACGACCAAATGTAGGAGTTCATTGTTATTCTTATGCTCATGGGGCTATTGACCGTCTCCTCTCTACTTGGAAAAGCTCTTTCATAAAGGATAGGAGAGCCCCGTGTAACCTGCAGTCTGTTATTTAAAGTCATCACGAAGAAATCAATACAGACAAAGACATGAAGGGATGTGTAAAAGTGGCTATGGAGAAGATCAATGCTCGGCGAGGATTAAACATCACAAGCAGAATAGTCGGTATAGAAAAGATATTTAACTGTTTTGTGAGGTATTGTGATTGCGATTAGACTTGGGATATATGTTTATAAATCTTATTACCTCACCAAAATAAGATGTGTTTTGTTTCATTCACACATGTTTGAGTAACGCTTTAGTACAGGCTTTATTCACGCTTACGTCACAAACCAGGAAGACGTTTGGAAAGATGCGATTACAACTTCCTAGGCCCAGTTTTCTTCATCTCCGTGTCATTGTAGCGTTCCTTTATGTTGGGCGAATCAACAATTACAACAATACCGCAGTTTTCATAATTTCCCCACTGACACACAACTCCGAGCGCAATCTGTGGATCATTCGTTCATTCGTTTTTCAGTACCAGGACTGAGACCGAGACCAAATCGAGACCAGGCCGGGACCAGACCGGAGGCTCAGAGCCCACGGCAGGGCCGAAGATCGAAGCTGAGGCTCGAAGTCAAATCTCGGAGTCCGCTCTGGTCCCGTTTTGGTCCCGGTCTGGTCTCGGTCTGGTCCCGGTCTGGTCCCGGACCTGGATCAGTCCTGGTTCTGTCTGTATGTGGTGCAAAAGTTCGGCATCGCAGTCACGGAAGTCACGTAAACGAGAAACGGTCGTTATCCGTTTTTACCATTCTTCATTTAAACACAAAATCGAAAACTGAAAAAACGAATCGTTATCTGTTTTTTCATTTTGGTTTTGGAGACAAATAATGAAGAAAATGGTTGTTTTTTTCATCTTCTTATTTTTGGTTTAATAATGAAAAACGAGTGAACGAATGACACACGGTTTGAGCGCATTGGGAACATGCGATTAGAAGAGACGAGGCGCCAAATTCAAGATGAGTCCAAACAGCACATACGTCTTCAATGGGTTTTATCACAGTCGGTTTTAATAAATCCATGTTTGGCAAGCCCATCGTCGGTAACTACACCGGAAGTTGTCATTGCACTTTTCCAAACGTCTTCCTGGTTTGTGACGTAAGCGTGAATAATGCCTGCTAGTCTGTCGACATCTCCAAAGCTCAAAATGCTCTGTTTTTAAGTTGACAGCTCCTTTTACCTTTAGTTCAGAAGAGATTGGTATTCCAGAGCTGAGCTAGTGAAGATGTATGGAGTTTAAAAACACAGTGGAGCACTTCTTGTACTACCACATGACATCACAAGGTAGAATAGAGTGTTTTGAGAGAAGAACTCAGCCTAAATATGCAGGTTTTGTGTGTTAAACATGTGTGAATGAAATAAAACACAACTCCAGGTCTGTTTGTGATGAGGAAATATTATAAATCGGAAAATACTGTGATATGGGCTCTGTAAAAGAAAATAAGAAGCCAAAACTGCGATATCGATACTGATACTTTGCAGCTGATGTCATCCAGGGTTCCTTCAGGTTTCTTCAAGTTAAATTCAAGTCTTTTCAAAACCTCTTTAAGACCATTTATATAAAAACTTAACACCTATTTCACTGCCTATTTCATAGACCTACCAGCAAAGAAAAACAAAATTCTTGAATTTGTGTTAATTTATTTCTCAAACAAAAGAATCTGAGGAGTAGAGAGTCTCTTCTCCGTAACTCCAGCATGAAATTTATCGCTCAGTAACGTAAAACCAATGTTAAAAAACATTAATAAACAGATTTTCTTTAATTTTCTGATTCGTAGCGTGTGATCTTCAGTGACGCGTTCGAGATTTTCGACCCGGGGCTGCGTTGCGTTCTCAATTACTGGTTCCGCTGCCGCTCTTTATTTAGGCGATGTTATTGAACCAAATAATGGTGGTTGACAAATTAAACTTTTAAAAAGAAATGTGATATAGAGAAGTTACATACTGCACAAATTTTAAGACCCAGATATAAAAATTCCAAATTCATAAATTCAATGCTTTTAAGACTTTTTAAGACTATGCGAGAACCCTGATCATCCACTGTAAGCACTGCTCTGTCTGAGGTTTTGTTAGACTTTAATGTGAACTTTATTTTGACCAAATTGGATAAAAAAAAACAAAAAAACACTTTGTTGGTACTACAGGTGAGATGAGTGAGTGAATTTTTAAGTTTTTCTCACTTTTTTGTTGTAAATCAAACCCCTAAACAAGATCATAAACGCTTAAATGTCCAGAAATTGTTCGGTTTAAATCCACTTTGTATTTTTTCAGATTATGTGGACATTTCTGGGCTGTGTTTGCTATTGTGTGCATTGTGTCACCATGGCAACATTGCATAATAAAAGTACATGTAGAACACCCCCAGCGTGATGTCAGTGCAAAATACATATACATATATAAATTGCGCAGCCCTAATCGAAATAATTGCACCAGCTCAAATTGCATTTTTGATTCTGCGATGTATTACGCGGCCCTAAATAAACCCACAGTCTGGTTTTGCTTTTGAGTTTTTTTGTTCATTTGTTCTTTGTGTTATTTGCTTGTCTCTCAGCACACAGTGACCTTTAAACAAGCGGTCTCCCTCACAGGACGGGGCCATTATCTTTGAGACTCCACAGGACTCATTTTATAAACGGCGGAGAGACATGTCACAAACACTCACACGAGAAGAACTCTACTTTTAACTCGTGTATAAATACATTATTTTGGATCTGTTGCTTTGAAGTTTTGAAGTTATAAAGTGGTGTTGTGTTTAAGCTCAAATGTGAACTGAAAAATGAAGTAATTAAAATGAACATACAGAGACAGACAGAGTCATAAATCAGATATGATCAATACTAAAACTAATATCAGAACTATATACTCATTTGAGAGGGTATTGATACTGAAAAAGTCACATTCACAGGTCATGGATTACAATGTGCTGTTGATGTGGAGCAGTAAAATCCGTAAAAAAACAAAAAAAACAACTATTTTCTTTATTATTTGTCTCTTAAACCAAAATGAAAAAACAGGTAACGATTCGTTTTTTCAGTTTTCGATTTGTGTTTAAATGAAAAATTTTAAAAAATGGATAACGGCTTAAACTGCAAAGCCGGACTGAACCAGGATTGAATCAGGACTAAAACAGGACTAAACCAGGACTAAATCATTTTCTGTCATGGGCTGGTCTCGGTCTCAGTCCCGGTCTCAATCACGGTCTGGTCCTGGCCTGGTCCCGGTCTAGTTCCAGTCTCAGTCCCAGTCTCAATCACGGTCTGGTCCCGGTCTGGTCTCGGTTTCAGTCCCGGTCTCAATCACGATCTGATCCCGGTCTGGTCCCAGTTTCAGTCCCAGTCTCAATAACGGTCTGGTCCCGGTCTGGTCCCGGTTTCAGTCCCAGTCTCAATCACAGTCTGGTCCCGGTCTGGTCCCGGTCTCAGTCCCAGTCTGGTCTCAGTCTGGTCCCGGTGTCGTCCCGGTGTCTTCCCGGTCTCAGTCCTGGTCTCAATCACGGTCTGGTCCCGGACTGGTGCCAATCTCAATCACGATCTGGTCCCGGTCTGGTCTCAGTTTCAGTCCCGGTCTCAATCACGGTCTGGTCCTGGTCTGGTCCCAGTTTCGGTCCCAGTTTCAGTCCCAGTCTCAGTCCCGGTCTCGTCTCGGTCTGGTCCCGGTGTTGTCCCGGTGTCGTCCCGGTCTCAGTCCCGGTCTCAATCACGGTCTGGTCCTGGTCTGGTCCCAGCCTCACTCCCAGTCTCAGTCTTGGTCCTGGTCCCGGTCTGGTCCTGGTCTGCTTTAGTCCTAGTTTAGTCCTGGTTCAGTCCGTATGCGACACAAAAGTCCGGCATCGCAGTTTAAGTCATGGAAACGGGAAACGGTCATTATCCATTTTTTTCCCATTATTCATTTAAACACAAAATAAAAAACTTAAAAAAACAAATCATTATCAGTTTTTTCATTTTAGTTTTGGAGACAAATAATGAAGAAAATGTTTAGTTTTTTTTTTTTATTTTTGGTTTTATATTGAGAAACGAATGACTGAATGATACACGGATTCAGTAAGAAACAGCTCAATTAAACAACACAAAAAATATATAGTTTTTTTTTTTTTTGCATTTAATCACAATTTCCTGTTTTATTCCGTCTTATTAGAATAAAAATGTAGTGGTTTTCAATATACATTTTCTAAACATAAACATTACACTTATTAAATTCCTATTTAGTCAGTCTGAGCCAGATGTTTTTACTCTTCATTTAAAAAAGACCCATGTTGTTATAAATGACAGAAACCATTAAAATGTGGTTAAAGCTCAAAAAAAAAAGTCAATTTGGCTAAACAGGCTCTTTAAAATTTCAATTCAACTATCATTATTTGATTTATAAACCAATGGAAGGAGTGAATGTGAGAGGACAACAGGTGGAAATTAGCCCGTGGTTATCTGACAAGTGTCTCCTGTACGTTCATTAACATGCACTGCCCTGACCTAATATAATAACAGTATTAGACACATTTCCTGCACATCCGGAGCCAACCAGAGCGTACACATATTCAAGTGTACATTAATAGCACGGCTCATTGTGCTGCTTCAAGAGGCCACAAAACATACGCTGGCGTTTTATGCATTATATTGATTACTAGCTCATGTAGATGCATAAATAGCTTACGAACTATAGCTGTGTAATCATTCATTCATCCAGGAGTGCGCCGAGGTAGAAGAGAGAGGTTTCAGAGGTAGTCGTCTGGACACTGTTTTGAAATCAAGTCTTTAG